TCTTTTTTTCTTTAAATTAGGTTTTATAAGATGCAACTGCAACTTTCTTTGCACGTGTACAAAGACTGTACATATATGTATGTACGTATATAATACATCTAAATACGACACAAGAAATATCTAACTGGTTTCAAAGAGCCGATAAATTTTGAAACACAAGATATTTCTGGTATCTTTGAAAAATTTTGTAAAGTTTAATAATAATAATAATAATAATAATAATAATAATAATAATAATTATGCAATACATGAAAAGTGTTTATGAAGCACATTGGCGCGAAGCAACGATAACCTCACTTTTAGGATTATAAACACGAAGAGCATAACGTTTAGAAATGAATAACAAGAAAGCTGAAATTTCAAACTTGTTGTGTCCAAATATGTTTATAGTCTAGAGAAAAAAAAAATACCGGATATTCGTTTTTATAGGAAGAAAGGTGTTGCGTGTTCAGTACTTGGCACTATGTAGTAGTAGGATCCGTGGCGAAAAGGTGGTTCAGGAAGGGGCATTTATGATGTCAGAAAATGCTGTGAAAAATAGGTATAAAATTCGTGTAAGAAACGCGGCGATACGAAAGTATATAGAAGGGAAAAGAATGATATGTGACATACCATGACTGGGAGAATGGCGTTGATTTTCTTCACATGGCTTTCATTCTTATCGAAAATATTAATCGAAATACCGGATTGTTTACCGCAAAGACGGCAAATGCGGCTAGATTCGAGAGTCTCCATAACGGTGTAAGAATGAATTTGTCCAGGTGTGAGAGTGGCGGAAACGTTGAATAGCGTGCAAATCCTCTCTATCCTTATTAATCGTTTCGAAGTGAGTTTTCGCGACACCCCAACCGCGCGCTTCGCGGGAATCCCTGAAAAATCTGAGTCTGAGCGCGAACTTTCCTTTGTAACCCAGTCGTCGCCAGCGTATAATTCTGCGTCACGTTTCACCGTCGCGTCGCATCGCGTCGCGTCGAGTTGTCGGGGTTCGCGCAAACGCAAGCAAACACTTGTAACAACTGTGCTGTGATCGGCCGATACTATTACCGAACACCGACGCCGACGCGTCATTCTAGGGATAATGGCAGTCTAAGCCAAACTGGGCATTTTATAACTTTTTCACGATTTGGGTGATATAAGGACCAAACTAACATTCTTTACAGGTTCCTCAAATTTGTTGAGAACTCGTTTCTATGGATTTTTCTAGGGACTGTCGGTAAAGTTTTCAACATATTATTATTTGCGACAATCGTCGGTACTCGGGGTTTCCATTCAATGTTTCGGTTAATTTCTCATAGATGACACCACCATTCAGTTTATCACGTTTAGACAGTAGAGGCAGGCAGGCAGGCAGGCAGGTAATAGAAAAAATCTAAAACTGTAAAGAAATAAAAAGATTTTTCTGAGATCAAGCATGAAAATTATTTGAAAATTATTTGTAAAATAGTTTGTACTTATCTAACGCTCTATTTCAGCATTTGACGTATATGTACATACATAGAAAATACGATGAAGGTACGCGATCAAGATAAAAACGAAAACACAAAACGGTGAGGAAAATCATAGTTTGATAAATTATTTTATTTAGTATGTATGTATGTGTGGCATACGGATCGGTAGCAAAACTTGATCGGTTGGAATCGGATTTAATTGACGGCTATAAAATGTAGCGAGAGCGTATCAGGAAAGAGGCAGCGTTGCTGTGTGATTCCTATAATTTTCAGGGTTCGTGCTTGACAAAATAACAATTGGGTGAGTGGGTGGGTGTCGGTTTTCACACCCGCGGCTCGATGGGGTCGCTTCGGAGAATGTAAAAAAGGCCAGAACTCGAAACCGGTCCCGATGGATCTTTCTTATACATACATGTAGGTAGGGACCTACCCTGGCGTCCACACTTTCCTCCCGCCTCTCGCTCGCCTCTTGCCCCACGTTCCTCGTTTTACTTTGAATAAAGATCGAGCGTGTCAGGAACGTAGCTATCACGACGAGCGTAGACCTTTTCTCCTCTTTATTCGAATCAGTTTTGTATCCGATCCTTTTATCGAAAATCTGGTAGGCGATTGGTACTGGGTTAACGAGTACGATCAATCGCGTCAAATTTCTCGGTGAAAATGAAATGGTCTGATTTGTCCTAAGCGTTTGACGAAGCGTTTGACGAAGCGTTTGGGGCTGTAGCAGGTTCGCTTTGATCGAGTACCGGTGGCCCCGATTCACACCTGACTTTTACCGATAAAAACAGGCTCCGAAAGATATCATTATACGAGCAATAGCCAACAGGCGCTACTCAGACCGAACGAAAGGGAACTGTTATCGGTAGGCAGGTAGTCCGCGCTTACTGCTTACGCTTTTAATCAGACGAATTCATTTGGTTGCTGTCGCGACTTTTCCTCTTTTTCGTCCCCTGATAATAACACGCTATCCGCCTACTAATGGCTCATAGAGTGAAACGTTTTCTTGATCGCACGGTCGGCAAGTTGACGATTACACAATTATTATGCACCTCTTGTAGTTTGGAGCAAAAAAGTAAAAATGTTTATTTTAATAAGAGAGTGTCGGAAGAAAAAGGCCGGGGTGTTGAACAAAGATACATAGTTAGCTGAAATTCGTGTTGCGGTTGAATAGAAAAAGGTTGGCCGACATGGTCGAAGAGGGTTTGGCTTTAGGTTTGGGCCTAGACGTAAGGGCAAAACTAGGGACGCTGCGGCGAATTTTCGTCCTTTTGTGGCTGAATATACATATGTACATATCTACATATGAACAACGTCGTCCGTGTTCGGCCGAATGAAATATGTATGTATACCTTTAGTCCATTTTAACGCGCTCCTCGTAACTGGCGCCAAACGGATCAACATTTTCTCTTTCTCGCTTTCTCTCTGACGATGAACGCGCGAACATACAGACACGTACAAATACAGAGGCGCGAACTACACCTACGATAGCATCAGCGTCCCTTTTTTCTCCACCTCATCCAGATTTCTCGTCCGCTAACCTGTTGTCACGTTCGTTTTATCACCGATTCTTCTTGACGCGTTTAGAAAGAAACAGAATACGTTAAACCTAAAGCTGGCTTTCGGTTTCGTTAACTTGTTCGATCACGCTCTTTCCGTTTGTCATGTGTCTACTCCCCCGTACCATGTCATGTAGCAAGAAAGCTCTGAATTTGTCGTCGTGGTTACATATGTACAACTATGAGTTAGGACTTGGCTCGAACTGTCGAACATTGAGTAGTATGTATGTAAGTACATAACTCGGTAAATTAACAAGCCGATCGATGAATGAACAAGTCCATGGTTCCTGCTCAGTGCTCAGTGCTCAGCTAATCGTTGCGTAGACGACGCATTTCGCGATGTACATTATGTACAAAGTATGTACATACACTGTTACGGTGATTGTATTGCCATTTTATCTTAACCCCCGTAGTTAGTTCTCCTCGAGTAAGCACATTTTGGTCAAACGACTTTGCTTTTCTCTCTGTTCACTAGCGATAATACATAACAGGCGAGAACTTATTTCGTCGAAAGAAAGAAAAGAAAGGAAAATGGAAAGAAGGAAGTGGTAGATTTTTCAATTGATACACATAGCTATTGTAGAAATGGAAATAAAAATGAACTACGTACGATACGATACGATACGATACGATGATGCTGAACAAGTGGAAGAGGCTCGTTAATAAAAACGAGACGACTAGTAGTAGCACAAATCAATCTGGGTCATAGATTCCACGTCGCAGTCGGAAAGAGACGCGCAGTAGCAGGCTTTTCAGAAGAACTTGGAAGTAAATGAAACATATTCCGTTGAAAGTTGAAACGATCGTCGTCGTAGCTCTGTAAATAAAATACTCGTATGTAGGTGCACTGGCGGTACGTGGCATTGAGCTTTGAAATCGCAGATCGCAGCATGGGTGCGCGCCCTCGTGCTGTGCGTACCTACCGCTTTTCATCCTTCGGTAACATTCGGCTGGCTCGATCGCCGAATCGGCGCCGTTCAAGCGCGAATGCACCACTTTCCAGACGCTCACCACCGCCTTCCTAACCGATTCTTCTCTTTTTCTCAACTTCTTCTCCTCCCCCTCTTCTTTCTCTCAACTTCCAAGCAATTCCGTCATTCGGTTTGCTCCCTTCCACTTGTTCCTTGCTTCTTTTGGCTCATTATCAGCTTTGATTTGCAGCACCAAATAATCGACAGATCGATGCTCGTTGAATTCTTATCGAACAGTGAGACATCGAATAAAACGAGCACGCGTACGATATAACTACATCGTATGTATGTAAAAAAACAGATTCTCGTTTTATTCGGATTTTCTACGCCACGCATTATTACAAATCAGAATTGTAACTGTCAATTGTATTGTAGTTCCCGCGCGAGATGATGCGTGATGACGCGTGACCACGCGACCCTGCAAAGACATTCGCGCCTTTTCGAGAAACCGTTCTTCTCAGCCTGACTTTTTCTCCGTTTCTCCATATGGTTTCCCATCATTCGTTCTGGAGCAGAACGGGTCGGTACATACCGCGTAACCATGCTCGTCGAGAGAGAAAAGAAGATCCGTGGAAGCCGCGCTCGTCCTTGTCGCGGCACGGTGGCGCCCATAGGGTGCCCATGTACCTACTTACATACATACGTATACGTACGACGTGACGAAGTCAGGGATGTAGTTAAAATTTTACGTGCCCATATTCCGATTCGTTTCGTTTCGTTTCGAAATGATTTTGATGGAAATGAAGTACTGAACGCGTTCTAGATTTTGTTATTAATTACGATTTAGTTTAGAAACTGCGTTAAAAAAGAATCGAGCATGCGTTTTGGCACGCAACCTCTTATTCTTACAATTAGTTTATGTTCGCTAGAAGGAACTGGGTTACTTCGAATTCGAGATACATCGTCGATAGATGCGCGCGCTCCTATTTATTGTTGTCTCGTTCTGTTACAGCGGCGTAAACCGATCTCTCCGTTCGAGAGCCGACGCGATCCGATCTGGCATCCAACGAGCTATCACCAGTCCTTTCCATGAACCGACGGAAATAGCCGAGGCAGGACAGGCTGTGCTGGCCTGCGCTTTGCGAACGACGCAAACCGCCCTACGTCACAGTGAAGTATGTGCTCTCGAGTGTAGAAAATGGCTGCGCTCTCCGCTACCCCGGGTCGGCACGGATGTAAATACGGCCTGTGGATCAGCTTTGGAGTGTTTATCGTAAGATTTGTTGGTGGTGAGTAAATTTGTGCTTTGTTACGCGATCGCAACTGCATGTGTTTCCCGTTAAATTAGTGAACGCGGAACGTGGAACGTGCAGTGTACCAGAGAATCGATCGGATGCGGATTTTTAGTACGATTGATGCCTGCTATCTATCGACTACCTTTCGCCTTCTGCTACACAGATGTCATGTATGCCCTCTTGGTATATAGCCTCTTTACCCCGTCACTCCTCCGAATTCTCCCATCATCCCCTCCTCTCGCTTTAATCGTCAATCGCATCGCATCGTATCGTATCGTATCGTATCGTATCGTATCGTATCGTTTCGTTTCGTTTCGTTGTTTTCGACATATCGATGATAAACACTGTAGGTATGTACGTCAATGCTTACATACACGGATATCGAGTGTTTTACGAAAGATTTTTCTTCTTTTCCTCTCATAGTTAAGAAAATCTTCAACTTCTCTTCGATTTGATATTATGTGCCAATATATTTATTATACATACGTACCTACTTACGTTTCGCGCATTCGAATGCACGATCCGTTTTGCCGTACGATCTAGGCGATTCTCGTGTGAGAAATTCTTGTGCCAAAAATGTGTACTTACGTCGTTTCTTATCCATGACTCGAGAAGAAGTGAGATGAAGAGAGAGAGAGAGAATGAAAAATAAAAAGAAAAAAGGGATAACATAACGCGAAAAAAGGAGTAAGGGAACGGGCAAGAAAGGAAGAAGGAAGGAAGAAAGAAAAGAGAGGTTAGGGACTGAAATACCAGCGACTATCTCGCTGCTTTAGCCGCTTCTAAAGTCTCGCCTCGCGCCACAGGTCTCGCGCCTTGCCTACCTCGATCTTTTTTTCACGTGACAAAATACAATTCTGTATTTCTGGCTCGATTCTTCTGGTTTCGCCGTGACTTCTCTTCGAATTAATCTTACCGATCCTACAGTTGTTTCGATTCTTCTCCTTATTTCCTCTTGAAGGATTTACGCGTTGTTCGCCGTTGGATCAGGATGCGCCTCACCTACGCGCAATACATACCTTGCTTCTCGGTTGCGTGCCCCTCTGCATCTGCGAAACATTATCGGATTAACAATAATGTAGCCAAGCGCTTATAAATAAATAAATAAATAAATATTAGATTCCGCGATGCGTCGCGACGGTTGTCAGAATTGCCTATAAACGATTTAACAGGGATTAATCGCGCGAGGCGAGTACGTAACGACGACTGACTAAACAAAATTGGCTGGATGGATGATCGTTCTACGAACGCTCGGAAACAAGTATTGTTGTTGCCAATTAATTGACGCGAACGCGATAAAAAAAAAAGCAACAGGTGTTTGGGTCAAGTCCGTTTTCGAATTGATGTAATAATCGACGTTTTATGGGGAACGACGAATCACAGGAATTAGTGTTCGCGCATCGTAAAACTGGAAACACGCAGGAATATGACACGTGTATGTACATATACATATATGTGTATAAACCGCAAACGATAATAGCTTAATTGGATGAGTTTGTTATCGTATCAGAACACGTATTTCGAGCAACGAAACTGTTATATGCTTGACTTACATATATACTAAAAACGACGCTGAAAGAGAGCACGAAACACGTTTACCTCTGTTGGAAGTCGATTGATAATCGTGCACCGGCGATTTCCTTGTACGGTACGATCGGCGTGCGTACCTACATGGCGTTACATGCGGTGTACCGTGCTAGGAAAAGGCTCGACTCGGAGCTTGTAAAGAAAGGTTTGTCGAAATGAAAAAAAAGAAAAGGAAATAGGTAACTGAAAACGAGTCTGTTACATACATACATAGAATAGGTAGACGCGTTCACTTTGAGAATCGATCCTTCGTCCAAATACTTGGGGATGATATAAATAGAGCGGTCACCACCGTAAAATAGACGCAAGGGAGCAATTCCGCGACGTAAGATACGTGCTCTACCCAGCTACTTTGATACGTATGACCGACCGATTGGAGTGAAAAGTTTGAAAATCGTCTTCTTTCACGTGTTAACGCGTGTTAGATAGATAATCTTAAAGCAGTCGGTTTAACATAGTTCTCTTTCGATTTCGATTTCGATTTCGATGATAGGAAAACGTGAACGAAATCGCATCGTAGGACGCAATGGCTGTCCACCTACGCCAAACACGTTATATGTAGTTTAATAACGTCTTTCTATGTATGTATTACCGCGGTAAGCCATTACCGTTTCGCTTTCTCTTCGACGATATAGATATGTATGTATATTCTCTTTTCGATTTCAGCGTTAGGAATCACTTGCTATTGCGAAGGACACTGCCCGGACGATCGACAAAATGGAACGTGCGAAGGAAGACCCGGCGGTCATTGTTTCAGCGCCGTGGAGGAAGTTTGGGACGCGGAATCAGGAGAATACGTGCCGGAATGGTCGTTTGGCTGTTTACCGCCCGACGAGCAAGGTTTCATGCAATGCAAAGGATATCTGGTGCCACATTTGCAAGGGAAAAGCATAGTGTGTTGTAACAAAAGTGCTCTTTGCAACAAGGACTTGTATCCCGAATACAAACCTAGACCCACCGCGGTACCTAATCCTATGGCTATAGCATCCGGTGCACCGTTGATAATATTAGCTACCGTTCTTTCCGTCTGCTTGATGGTCGTTTCGATAGCTATGTTACTGATATATCAGAAATACAGAAGAAAAGAGAGAGGTCCCTGCCTGGTGCCTCCTGCAGGAACGTTGAAAGACTTTATCGATCAGAGCAGCGGATCTGGTTCGGGATTACCCCTTCTGGTGCAACGAACGATCGCTAAACAATTGGCTTTATCTCAGTGCGTCGGCAAGGGACGTTACGGTGAAGTTTGGCTTGCCAGATGGAGAGGAGAAAAGGTCGCGGTCAAGGTATTTTTTACGCTCGAGGAAGCCTCTTGGTTCAGGGAAACGGAGATTTATCAGACCGTATTGATGAGGCACGATAACATATTGGGCTTTATCGCTGCGGACATCAAAGGAACCGGCTCTTGGACGCAAATGTTACTAATCACCGATTATCACGAGAGAGGATCGTTGTACGATTACCTACAGACCACCGTTCTCGATCACCCTGCTCTCTTGGCCATTTGCCTTTCGATCGCCTCTGGAATCGCTCATCTTCATACCGAGATATTTGGCACCCGCGGCAAGCCTGCCATAGCTCATCGAGACATCAAGAGTAGAAATATTTTAGTAAAAAGAAACGGCGAATGCGCCATCGCCGATTTCGGTTTGGCGGTAAGATATATTAGGTAAGTGATTTAACCTTTACTGATTTATTCACATATCACATCAGACTTTTTCATTTCTACTTTCATTTCTACTTTGTTCGCAGTGAAAGCGGAGAAATCGATATCGCGCCAAACACCCGAGTCGGTACACGTCGATACATGGCTCCGGAAGTTTTGGAGGAAACTTTGAACACATCCTCTTTTGATGCCTTCAAAATGGCCGACATGTATTCGGTTGGTTTGGTGCTTTGGGAAGCGTGTAGAAGATGCGTAACCGGTGGAAAAAATTCGATCGTCGAACCGTACGCTTTACCCTATCACGACGTCGTGCCGAGTGATCCAGATTTCGAGGATATGCGGTTGGCTGTTTGCGTGAAACGGTTACGTCCAGTCATACCTCCGCGATGGGAAAACGACACGGTACGAATAAAATTGATCGATCGCATCCACCCAAATCCGTCTGATAAACTCGTTCATTATTTTTTTGTCTCTTTTTACTTGCAGATCCTATTCGCTCTGAGTAAGCTTATGGCCGAGTGCTGGCACGCGAATCCTGCCGTTCGTTTAACAGCGCTACGCGTCAAAAAAACGATATCTAAACTACACATCGACAATGCCATCAAAATTGTCTAGCGCTTGGCAAACTTACGATTAGTCGAATTTGTTCCAAGCTTATTACTTTTTACAAGCTTACAAACTATTTTCCCCTTGTATATATGCTCCTGGTGTACATAAGTTTATCGACAGACTGCAAGCCTGAAGACTGAGTACTAACATTTATAAATACACAAAGATGGATGAATGCGAACATTTCGATGATCGATGGATGATTGGTTATTGGTTATTGCTTCTCATCAACGAACTCAACGAACGAATGAGTATGTATTTTATACGTATACGAATGTCAATTTTACTTTTTCCTTTTTTTCTTTTTTTTCTTCCAATCAACACATCCGCGAAACGCTCCTCCTCTTCTAACGCGTTTCCTTTCGTTCCCTTCAACGTCGTTCAACTCGTCGTATAACTCGTTAGCAAAGGTAACGTTGTTTCGTCGTTAAACGAAACTACAGGTTCGCGAGTAGTAAATTTAGTTACAACTACAAAAAAATCTATCTTTAATAGGAACAACAGCTTTATCGTTTTCATCGTAGCATTTCAGTCTTGTCTATTTACTTATTTAGCGGCGTGACCTTTATATTCGTTGAAAAGTGATCATCATCCAAGATTACAACGCGACGATGTCGATGTCGATGTCGATGCAATAATTTATCGTCAATCAGAAAGTTTCGCAGGATACATACATGTTCAGAATCATTCAGAAATACAATGCTTTTCACGTTAAAAACCTTCGACAAAAGTATAATGTTTACGTGTTCGAAATATTCTTCTACGCCGGAATATCTCTGGCTATGCAGAAAAACATTTTATACGATTCTTTGCAAATCATTCATTTTATTATCCTTTTCTTTCCATCGATCGTGTTACGCTCGATTTTTAATTTCAAAGGCAGGAAAATTACATTTTATCGATATTACCAGCAGTTGTGTTGATACTTGCACACTGTTTCTTTCTCTTCATATATGATCCTATATTATCTGTACAGTATGTAATTTATGTTTTTAAGTTGTACAAATGGGATATATTGTTTAGCTTAAGAAAAATTAGAATCGTTAAGTATACTATATTAAAAACGTTGATTCCCTAAACTCGAAAGATATCTTTTAACAAGATAATCGGAGCAGCGATAATCGTTTTTGCGGCTCGTTGATCTTTTATGTACGTATCAATAGTTTGGTGTATTTGTAAACTTTGTAAAATCGCTGGATTATACCCAAGTACCTACCTAAATTTTCAACGAAAAATTTGACAAAATCGTTGCTCTAAAAGTTTGACAAACTATGTTTTTAGCTATTGACTTCAAGTCCTTGTTACATACGACTTCCGTATACGCGTATTATGTAACAAAAGTCACTGTTAAATAGTGTTTAAGTTTTCGTTTTCGTTTTCGTTTTCGTTTTCGTTTGGGAAAATCAACTGTAATTGCATTAAAAATCATAGCTAATAGTTAGTTGATCGCTGACAATGAAATTTATATTTTTAACAAGTATTAAATATTATCGTCTTTTTAAAACAGATATCAACTTTACTTATTTTTTTGACGGTGTAGAGTGTAGGGTATTATCATCCCATTTTTCTATCTGTTTTACTATTTGAAAATAGTTAAACGCGTACTATATACATACACGCAAGTACGTTTTTATCATGTTTTTACATATGTATAAATTTGATTACAAGTAAATCCCTAAAACTCGTGTAAATCATTGCCGCTGTTTAATTTATATCTAATTTTATATTAATACATACATACGTATATATGTATACTTGAAAATCACTAGGCTTTGTGTCTCGTCAATATTAGATGTCTAATAATTATGCCGAAATATTTAGGCGCTACAAAAAACTCGGAGCAAATCGAATATCGCTCATTTTTCCATCATTCGTTCTTCGCATCTCAAACAATCTCAAAGATGTTATTGTTTCCGATATACCAGTCGTATGTATGTACATACAGACATACATACATGTATAAATTTTCGGGAAAGTGCAACGTCACTAAATGTACATATGTACATACAACAATGTTTGAAATATATTTTTCAAAATAGAAGATAAATCAGTACTCCACATAACGATGTTGATATTAATGTTGATGTTGGTAATTTTTTTTTTCACCAGTTGGCCATACTGTATTTCCACGAGATGCAATAGGAAAAAGGGACGCCACTCTCCACTTTTCTCTTGGTCTATTTTAGTCCGCCATTTTTTTACTTCGGGAAGCGTGTAGTTCAGAGTGGTGTGTTGTCGTGCTTTTTTACAGAAATACTGACTTGGTAAGTAATTAAATGATTCTAAACTACGTTCTATGTAATTTGTTATCGTATAAAAACAGCATGTGCGTTCAGAAACGTAGTTTAGTCACGATATTGATCATGATATTGTACCGCCAAGATCCAGGATACTCGAATCACGCCATTTCGTGCTCGTTCAGTACTATTTTCGCATAACGCTACGTACGTTTTCCATTGCATTTTACTTCAGAGACACAAACATTACTTATTATTCCATTAAGTATAACATAAAAGGGTAAACGGGTTTAGAAAATTGGAAAACGGTTGCAATCGTAGTACACGTATACATACATATATACATGGGTAAAGTATGTATGGTCGGTGCATCCGTGCATATGCTTTCTTCGTCGAACCTCCTCGATAGCTATTTGTGTAACTCGATTACTCCAAGTTACTGTAATTTTCCATCAAAATTTACATGAAAAATTAAAAACAAAATACGTTGTTTTGTACTTGTGTATCTAATGGATAAAATCTGCATTTGCGATTGTTTTTGTGGACATGAATAACGCGCTATATTGGAGGGATTAAACCAACACTTTTATTTTTTTGTTTTTTAGATTCATAAACGCGTCGATTTTGTTATCGTAGGATCGTTTACAATAACAAGTATCGTCTTGAGGTTGTTTAATTTCTTCAGACAATTTAAAAAAGCTACACGATTCTGACGAGTAAGCAAACGAAGTGACGATAATTGTTCACTCTTATAATAACTTTTTGTATTATCGTATGCCTTAAGAATGAAAAACACGAGAAGCAAAGAAGCAAAGTAGTTCCCGCGTTGAATTATTTTTAGCATACAAAACGAATTTCCAGACAGGTCACTCACGGTAGATTTCTGAATGTACTCGGTTCACGCGATTCATTGTACTGTAGTTGACTGTCAGAGGTCGCTAGTGGAACACAGCAAACGGAGAAGCGGACGCGGCCAGTAAGACGCCATTGTTAGATTGCGTTCTCTCGTGTAAAGTCGCGTACGTAGTGCTGGTGTGAGGTATTTCGCTAAAAATTATACGCAGTAGCTGTCGGTGAGTTACGAGAAAACATACGATAGGTTGAATGCGAAAGGTGCGTAATAATTGTTGGTAAATGTAATTACGTGTACTTGGTGAACCGTGAAACTAGTGCGCCATTTCGACAAGGTCGGCGGTTCGCTCTTTGTACTGCGTGCTTTCATACAGTATTAGATACTCGTCGTAGCTTGGATTCGTTCTTCTCATCCTGTTCGTCTAGAGATTCGAAAATTAAGTGCATTTCACAGCTATTGGTCACATAAGTGACTTTTACGTAAAATTATTTCGATGCATGATTCAGGTAATCGAGCAGAATCACAACGACTCCCGAAATTCGAAAACTTGGATCGTTAGCAAAATGGTGGAAAGAAGCATCCTAGTGTGTGTGTGTGTGTGTGAGTGAGGAGGGTGGGGGGTGCGGCGGGCAATAGGGTGGGAGCAGAGAGCAGGGGTCTAAACAACGCGTCATCATCGAGTATCCTTGACGAATTGCTTGGTTGGTTCGTTTAGCGATATGTTTTTTCTCGTACAAAACTGAATCGGTTAAATGGTATTGCGATTAAAACGGGGACAGACAGCGGTGCGTTTCAATGTATGTATATGATGTATGTAAGTACGCGGCATCACGACGCCGCGTAGATTCTTGTTAATAACTAGAAACGTTGATTTTCTTTTCGTATCGTAATTTTTCCAGCATGCTTGCTGTATAGTATGTTGTTCGTAAGAAATGTTACGAACACGAATTAGCTGTAAATAATATTTGAAATGTTTTGTTTGTGAAACTAGGTTCTAGAACGAGCCGAAAATGCCAGGTTTTAGTAGCGTTGGCACGTTTAAAATCTTTATCGGCAATTTAGCCGACAAGACGTCGAATGCTGATATTAAACCGTTGTTCGAGAAGTACGGAAAGGTTGTAGAATGCGACGTGGTGAAAAATTATGGATTTGTGGTAAGTTTGAACTTTTCGATACGCAGCAATTTGTTTAAAAAATTGTACGGAAGTTACATGGAATGTTAGGAAGGTTGATATTCTTGCCCCTCTTTCTTTCACTTATTCATTTATTTTTCCTTTCTTTCTTTTTACGTTGTTGTAAGGGACAAGTATTATGAGATGATATTATATGTTCAACAGCATATGGAAAACGAAGAGGCAGGGAGAAACGCGATACAAAATTTGAATGGACAAATAGTTCATGGGCAGCCAATTAAATGCGAGGCTGCGAAGAGTCGTAAGGGGCCAAATACTCCTACGACAAAAATATTTGTTGGCAATCTCACAGATAATACGAAAGCCCCGCAAGTGCGGGAACTTTTCGCTAAATACGGCACAGTTGTAGAATGTGATATTGTGAGAAATTACGGCTTCGTTCATCTCGAAGCAACAGGTGATGTGAACGACGCTATCAAGGAACTGAACGGACAAATGGTAGATGGTCAACCAATGAAAGTTCAGATTTCTACGAGCAGAGTACGACAGAGGCCAGGAATGGGAGATCCTGAACAATGCTATCGATGCGGCCGCGGCGGTCATTGGTCCAAGGAATGTCCGAAAGGAGGAATGGGAGGAGGTCCGGATAGAAACGGATACAGGGACCGAATGTTTGGACGCGACCCGTACCCTCCACCGCCGCCACCACCGTTCCTTCGGGATCGGTTAATGGGTGGTGGCCGCTTTGGAGTAAGTACTTTTTTTCAATTATTTTACACGATAATCAAAGGGAACGTGAAATTTATCTCGCACGTTTGTCGTTCAGGCTGGTGTTAACGGAAAGGGAAAGATGTATTAACGCGTTGGACTTTTCCTTTTCTTTCATAGGACTACGAAAGCTACTATGACAGAAGGGGCTTCGAGGACACCAGGGATCTCTACGAGAGGCGGTTTACGGGTATGACAGGGCCCTGTGACATGGGAAGTTCCATGTGCGGGCTTGACTTTCCACCAATGACAATGCCACCTCTACCCCCAAGACGAGACCCAATGCCTCCTATGCCTCCTCTAGGTATGGGATCCATGCGCGACACCGGCTTCTCCCGTGGCAACGAGTATGGCATGTTCAGCCGCCGATCACCCCCTCCAAGTGGCAACAACGGCCGGTTCAGGTGAGTAGAGTCATCGTGTACCGACTGCCCATTCGTCCGACTTAACATTGTGAACGTTCCAGGCTGGATTAACAGCTCATGCGAATTGGGGTTCGGTGATTCGTCGACATTTTATATATATCATTTTATATATATATATATATATATTACATGTGTATATATACATATATACACGCACACGCGCACGCGCACACACATACACACACACACACATATCCATACCATATTGTCTTCCTTACGAATCTTAAATTTCTTTTTTTTTTTCTTTTTTCTTTTTTCTTTGTCTTTGTCCGTTCGAGTATCGTTGTTCCTTAGAAAAGCGGAAATTTCTCCAATTGGTCGTATACATACACGTTTACAGGTATATGTGCTTACGGCACGGTCGCGTGTAAATACGTCTACGATTTGTACATTGATACGCACTATTTGTCCTTAGATTGGGTAATATTCAATTGTACTTGTTTGGCCAGCGATGAAACTTGGATCGCGTAAACGTTGCTCGTAATCGAATCCGTGCATAGCTGCATCTTTCCGGTTTATTTATTTTTTCTTTTCGTAACACAGACATACATAGGATGGGATGTGTTGTTAAAGTTGTATGCCTCGGAAACTGGATTCTCCGAGCCGAAACGGTCGAAACAGCCCTTTACCATCGTTTTACAATTCGCGGCTTCGTTTTCGAGATAGGACTGTTTTAAAATTGGCTGTTTAACGTTTCGAGCGTTCCGAGCGGTTCGATTAAACCCGATTGAAATCGAGCGAATAATTGGACACGTGGTCGCGGGTATCTACTGTCGGCACAATTACCCCTTTCAAACAGTAATACATATAGGGTATGTCGCGCTACGACATAGTATCTAGGGGGGATTGTATAAGGTGAGAGTGCTTACTTGAACAATTCGTTGGCTCGTATGTAGAACTTAAAGTGGTGGTAAGCTCCGATGTCTAGCTGTTCGTTACGAGAAAGGAAATAGAAAATTACAAAATGATGATACAGGGGGGTTTTTTATTCGTTTCTTCTGGCACGGAGAGTCTGTAGCTTTCGAATGATACAACTTGTTTGGAAAACACGGAGTGAATATGGATGAATTAGTGCTTGTTCGAATGGACGTGTCTGTCTGTCTGTCGAATATGTTACGCGTGGTCGTGTTGTTTATATATCGCATATCGTGTATGTTTCTGTTCTTTTGCGTGTAGTTGAGACAATATAATTGGTAAATTTTTTTTATTTTTTTATTTTTTTATTTTCTTAAATTTTCTAATTCAAGTACGAGTGTCGACCCGATGCCCACATGAGTGCAGAGTCTGCGTAATAAAATGTTAATTGTAATATGACGCTTGGACGTTTCTGTACATTCTAAATTTCAGTGCACCTCAGGCTGCGTACCATCTTTGTCCATGAACGCGGGCAACCCTAGAGAGACAGTCCCGGGCCAACGTTCAAGTCGTGCAAGAGTAAGTCTTTGACCACTTTTGTTAGCGAGTAGTCGTACCTCGTTCTTGTCGCTGACGCGCATTCTATACGAGCAGCTTCCCTCACTTGCATTAATAGAAATAAATACGCGGGAAATTCCGGGTCTCGACTGATCGTACCTTGAACATGTCGACTGCTCTTCTAGGGATGTCCCTGTTCATAGACTCTCTTGATCCATGGCGTTAAC